TTTCACCTTAAAGGCGTCTTGAAGCATGTGATGAGTTTCCGTTGCATTCTTCCCAAACCGCACACAAGACTTTATCGCTTTCCAGCGAACACTCCATCACGCTGTGCTCGATCGAAAAAAAGACTTCGCTCAAAGACCCGTCCTACCGCTCCTACTACTCGGAGCGACCTGAGACCAGGCGTATTTGGAAGGACAAATTCCTCACCACATTTTTAGACCAATCTGAGTGCGCTGCGATTGATAGTCGCGTCACAATAAAATCATGCGCATTACTTTCAGAACGCACCTTGTATTAATAGTTTGTTCATTAATATAACTTAATAATTGATTTTTATCAATATTTAAGACGTTTTCTTACACTCAGTTGTTAGAACAGTTGTTATCACTTTTCAAGGAGTAAAAATCATCTTCTTCTTATCTTAGACTTCAGTTATGTGTATTTGTTTCTATTAAACGCTTTATTTTATTTTTAAACACTATTTAGAAATATATCTGAGTTTTACATTAACATAGAGTGATTTATATAGTGGAAAATACAAACAACGATAGAGTTTCCCTTACAAAAATTTAAGGTATTTTTTGAGGTTTATTCGAAGTTGATTTCAAAAACAACCTTAAAAGTGCAACCTCTCAAGGTGTATAATCAAGGTGTTTAAAGTTGTTGTATTCACAATTGAGGATGTTGTGAGATTCATGGAAATCTACTTTAGAGCAACTAGTTTAGGGAGGTTGTTTTAGAGGTGTACAGATTATTTTATTTATAGTTAGTTATTCCTATTATCTTTAGGTCCCTCTCAACTGCGTGCAGCCACCAGTCGGTGGACGATCCCTTTTTCTTGTACCTTCTGGTTTAAACAATTTACTTTTTGTGGGGTTTTGGTCTTCAGGCATAGTTCATGTTATTAAGGCCAATCACATTCCATGGCTGGGACACAATATGAACTATTAATTTAAAATACATGCACTCAACAATACTTTGGAAGGAAATTAGTTTGTAAGTTAATCAAACTACAAGTAGAGAGAATATTAAGCAAATCCAACCGAAAATATTCGGATGGAAATTAAAGTTATTCAATATAGTGACAAATATATTAGCTACTTGCACTTCAAAAAAAGGAATATCACGGATACCCACAAATATTACCTATGACGTCAGCTCATGCTGATCGTTTATAGGCAAAATATGTTTATAAGCATGTTAAAGTTGAACTAAGTTTCTCCGCATCAGTTAGAATGTCAATCAGCGTGAATTTTATTAAATACAGTGCCATATGGCGCATCAAATTTGTTGAAATCAGATTCTTTCTCGCCTGCTTCTTTTACTTAACTTCGAATTATTATTTATGTATTTTATTGTAACCCGTGATATATTTTTTTGCTTTATATGCCTGGTAACTTCAATGCATAATTAGTTTGTTTATGTTCTACATGGCTTCGTACCTGTCTTTGTGTTAACTAATAGTGAAAGAATTTTTGTAAAAAAAACCTTTTCGTACGAATGTAGCATGTGTCACTTAAGAGAATTAATACCTGACAAACTTGGCTTACTCGAAATAGAATGGAAAAAACAGTAACAACAACTAACGTAAACAAATAACACTTTTCAACAACCAATCAGGATCGAGATACCTACTCTATGTCACTTATAGGTATCCCATTAACTTATGAAAGGATTATTATCTTTGTTACATAACTGACATATATGCTTTTTAAAAAGTGTATTTCGATTTGTGTTTCAGTGAGCGTGGCGATAACAAACTTACACAATCTCACAAATGGCTTAGAAATGACTAACTGCCAGAGTTGGCCGTTGATTACAGTAATCGATTACAACAGTAATTGATTACAGATAATTACAGCTATGTAATCAATTACTTGTAATCACGATTACAAGTAATCAATTACTTGTAATCGTGATTACAACTTTCAAAAAATTTTGATTACAGCTGTAATCATGATTACAATTTTGATTACAGTAATCAATTACTTGTAATCATGATTACAAGTAATTGCGATTACAAGTAATCACAACAAAAACGATTACAAGTAATTATGATTACAAGTAATCAAAATATATGATTACATGTAATCATGATTACATGTAATTTGATTACATGTAATTGTGATTACTTGTAATCAAACTATACGATTACAAGTTATTACGATTGTATACTATAGTCAAATTTTTTATGTAAGTATTCATGTGTTTACATATTTTTATGTACATAGAATGTACGCACGCATGAACGTACAATTTGCGATTCCTATACATACAATGTATGCACAAACGTTGTTTGTACGTACAATATTCATAATTATATTGTAATATACTTAATGCAATGCGCATATGCTTAGTACATATAATTATGCATTTATGATACATGTACGCATGTATGTTAGTTTGTACAAAAAGGCAATGTTTTGTATCTTTGTATACATAGACAATGTATGTATGAACGTATATGAAAATAATGTTTATGCGTTTGCATGCTTTTATGTACTTAAGTGCATATATTGTATAAATTTACGATAATAGCACGTATATACAATGTACGTTTGTATATAAAATTGTACGTATTTGCGTACAATATGTAAAAATGTTATTTAAAGGTACAATATATGCACATAGTTGCGTAAATAAAATGCGTACATGTATACATGCATATTTATATGTACATCGATATATGTGCACGCAAAGTATGTACTTATGTACAACTTACGTATGTACTTGTATAACTACATACTTTGTTAATACTTATGCGCATGTAATGCATGGATGTACAAAAAAATAGTTATATGCACAATGTATGCATGTGCATACAACGTATACATGTACATAATTACAAGTAATGTACAAATACGTGCGTACATTTAAATATATGTAATTACAATATACACATACATTGTGCATACATTAAAAAAATTTATATGAGTAAAGTTATTAAAATTTGTTTTAAAATTATTCTAAGGTATATGAAACTCGACCTCATATTTTTTAGAAAGCAAACGATAATTTTATTTGGAATTTCTAAATATTAATTCCACACATAAAATTTACCGTTTTTCTTACCATTTAAAAAATTTCTATGAATCATGCATTATGTTATAAAAAAAATAAATCTGTATTGTCAAACATTTCATGAAAATACCTGAAAATAATTTTTTATTCAGAGAATTTCAAAATGATATAGAACAATTAAAGCTGAAAACTAAATTTAAATATCGTTTGATTTTGTCATTTAACTTGCTTGAGTCATTAAAAGTTAACTTACATGCATTTTATTTATTGCATTGTACACATATTTAGACATAAATGTAATGTACATATGTATACGTGTAATGTATGTACGCATGTACAATGTATGTACATACATTCATGTATTGTACGTGCATATATAGTACATATGGATATGCATACATGGAACATACGTGTATTGTACATGTGTGGATACATTCATTGGACATATATACATTGCACCATATGCATAGATAGGGATAGCTTGCATGTACACATGTAAAATTTGTACGAAAGAATTATGCCTAATATATTTATGCACATATGTACTGTATATGTATATTACATGAACATTATATGTTCATTTCATCATATGTACATTTTATGAATATACATCTGTACGCTATATGTATATACATCCGTACAATATATGCATCTGAAATGTGTGTATTTACGTACGTTACGCATGTCGAATGTATGTATGAATATATGTAAAATATGAATACGCCCAATGTACGTACAATCGTACACAAATGTATTATGCATATTTGGATACATACATTGAGCATGAACAAATTATGTATATGTACATAAATACACTGGACATGCATATCATGTACATGTATACATACATATATTGTACATCCTACAGATATACATATATTGTACATGCATACATATATTATACTGTTCATAGATAAATTGCACATGCATGCATGGGACATACATTGTACAGACAATGTATGTATGTTCGTACAAACACAAGTACTTGTATATACAGGGTCTTTATAATTAAAGTTCCACTTTGAAATGGCTATAAAAATAAAACTACCCGACGAAATGTCATCAAACTTGGTAAATGTCTATAAGAGGTCGTGGGATTTTAGTTTCCGCAAAAAAAAAAAAAAAAAAAAAAAATAGTTCAAAAATTCACCACCACCGGAGAATGGCGCAATATGCAATAGTGTTAAACAAATGTGAAATATGCAAATTTGTTTTACACGTCATGTGACTTTGCAGTTATAAAAGTAAGGCACCTTGTCTGAGCTGTCAGTGTTCTGAGTCGACAATGTCTGTTACCATGCAAGACCGTGCTCTGCTCGTGAAATGTTACTATGAATGCGACAGCAATGAACGGAGGGCTTTACAAAATTTCCGTACTGTAAGAGGAAAACGCCGATTTCCAATGACACCGCAAGGTTTACGAAAAATGATGGCAAAATTTCAAGCCACAGGTTTGTTATCTGTTGCACCTGGGCGTGGACGAAAATCTGTGTCTGTGGAAACCAAGGAGGCTGTTGCATTAGCAGTAGAGGAAGCAGCAATGGATACCAGACAGGAGACGTGCAGCGTAAGTGCTGTTGCACGTCGACTCGACTTACCATTGAGTACGGTGTACAAAATCGTTCGGAAAGTGTTGCAGTACTACCCTTACAAAATCAAACTTGTTCAACAACTTCAACCTAGAGATCCGGCTTTAAGAGAAACATTTGCTTTGAGGATGGAGGTCGACATCAATTGGCCATGGAACATTATGTGGACAGATGAGGCACATTTTTACTTAAATGGGGATGTCAACACCCATAAGTGCAGGATTTGGGCCAAAGAAATCCCTCATGTTATCCACGAAGTTCCATTACATTGGCCTTAAGTCACCGTTTGGTGCGGTATGACAGCAAATTTCATAATTGAACCTTTTTTCTTTGAAGAGCCATCGGCAGCTGGGCCCGTGACATGCACCGTGACTGCTGCTCGCTGAGAATCGATGCTCAGATGTTTCGAGATACCTGAACTTCAGCAACGGGGCATTTTAGCCACCACGATCTTTATGCAGGACGGGGCTTCACCTCACATTGGTAGGTGTGTCAAACAGTTACTGCAGCAACATTTCACGAATGATCGTATTGTAGCCCGAAACTTCCCTATTTCTTGGCCACCCCGATCACCAGACCTCAACCCCTGTGACTTCTGGTTGTGGGATTATCTCAAAGCCATTGTTTATGGTGATAACATAACCAATTTAGTGGAATTGAAGAATATGATACAAAGACATGTCCGTAACATTTCTCCAGATATGCTAAGAAGTGCTGTTGAGAATGCAATATTGCGATTTAATTTGCTTTCGGAAAATGGCGGATGTCACATTGAGATGCTTTGTAGCAACAATAAAAGTGTTTGCAACTGATGTTTCCTCTGTTATTTCGTTTAACCTTATTGCATACAGCGCCATTCACCGCTGGTGGTAAATTTTTGAACTTTTTTTTTTTTTTTTTTTGGGAACTAAAATCCCATAACCNCATTCACCGCTGGTGGTGAATTTTTGAACTTTTTTTTTGCGGGAATTAAAATCCCATAACCTCTTATGGACATTTACCAAGTTTGATGACATTTGGTCGGGTAGTTTGACTTTTATAGCCATTTCAAAGTGGAACTTTAATTATAAAGACCCTGCATTATAGAAGATAAACCTCTCCAGCTCAAATAGCTAAAAAAAGCACGCGTCATTGTTACATATCTGGGATTTCTCACATCTACTACTACTTCCAATTTTTTTAAGGATGGAGTGGTGCCTCATGCTTTCTCCTCGTTGCTCAAACCTATCAGGAATCTCTGGAACATGATTGGTGATTGATTAAAATAGGAAAATTAATTTATATACCTTCATCAAGTCGAATGAAAGAAAATGCTACCAGTCATCATACAATGACTTGTTAAAAGCATGCCCCAGAAATTTAAGGGTTTAACTGCCTCTCGTGATGATTCTATCAGCAATTTCAAATGAATAAGTTTGTTTTTTCTTTTCTATAACAGGTAATTAAATACTTATTGGCTGACATTGTATTATCTTCGTCTTTACTAATTGTTCATATATTTTAAACAACCCGCAAAATTTAAGCATTTAGAGCTGCTATTTTCGAGGTAAAATTAAATAATGTTGAATTTGAAGAGTGCAAAAGTGTGTAAACTTCTCACGTGCTGACGGAATAGAAGTAATATTATAGGGTACTTTCTAGGAGTTGAATCCCTGTTCCTCCGGTTATGCGATTGATGCCTCAGCCATCTCACCTATAAATGTATACACAGCTTGAAGAGTTTTCATAAGGCGTTCACCTCAAATTTCTATGGATTACATTTCAAGACTATAACCTATTACAAAATTAAGATCAAATAATCGCTCCAAAACAAATTAAAATAGATTTACTTTTTGGAAAAGGGATTGGAATGCCCAACGAACAGCAGAATCGAAAAACTCTACCCTCATTTCTCTTACTCAGCACATGCATATGTTTACCGAATCCTTGTTACAATTTCTTTAATGAAGCAATCACTAATACTATATGTAAACAGCTTTCAAAACTGGATATCTGAAAGACAAAAACAAACCAAAAGTATAAACAAAATGAATCATCTTCCGATTTGAATAGACCGACATACAGGTGTATTGAAAACCTTCAAAGAGCGGTCATCGCAACGAGATGAGAATCCCAGATATCTTGAAATCTGAATCAAAAGGCTTCAAATTGAACCAACACCCATTTTTATCCTTTTTGAACTGAGGCAGACCACTCGCTAAGAAAAAACCTACGGGGCAAGCCCCGAAAGATACATCAAACACGTAGGATGTCATACGTAGTAGAACCTCCTCTTGTATTCTAGTTGAAGGGGGGGGGGGAAGCAGGAACAACTGCAAAAGAATAAAATGGATACATCTCAAGTTGCTTCCTTAATTCTGTTCTTCTTTTGTGTTCATGCCTCACCCATAAGGAAATTGGGGGCGCAGCGCGCGCGCCATGTGCGTGCCTATGCGAGGGTGGTGGATAGACGCACACGCGCGGCCTGCACTGAGGAATCTATTAAAGTAACTACCACACCTGTGCGGCTCATAAGAGGCTGCCGGAGAGTTAGGCTTTGTTTCATATCTTTTTTCTTCTTTTTCTTTTATTACTAAAATCAAATTCTTACAACATTCTTTTTTTTCCCTCGAAGTCATTTACACACACACAAGTACTACATATCTATCTTTTGTGTAGTGGACATTAAAACAATTGAAGATAGAAGAGGAAGTCCATCAAACCGGGTCAAACATTTCTTGTAGCATAAATTCGTCATTTTAGAAAAGTTAAAGAAAAGTAATAATTAAGCTCGTTAAATTTTCCATAAGTTTAAGAACGATAATAATGTAATAACTAAGCACATTAAAACTTCTTAGTTATGAACTTATTAAAAGCATATATATCACGTGATTTATTTATATATTTATTTTTTTAAGTTTAAGAACGATTTCTTTTTTTTTTTTAAAGAAACCATCTCCATCGATCATTCTTTTTTTTTCTTAATTTTTAATAAAAGCTAAGCTGCAAGTGTTAAGAAACCCCAACTTTCCTCTAAACATTGAATGAAAATGATAAATAAAAGCTTGTTCAACTCACATGTTTAACAATTTGCAGGGCGTTTTGTAATTCATAATTTGCTCTTCGGAATTAAATCTGTATTAAGAACGATACACTGTATATTATAATAACCCTTATATAATAAATTCTTGACCAAAAAAAAAAAACACAGAAAAAAGTAACATGCAAATTATGAATAAAGTACAACAACGTGAATAAATCACAAATAAAGTTTTAAAAATGCATTTACTATAGTTTCGGTTTTATAAAAAGAAACTTTTTCAGCGAGGATACAAAATGTGTTTTGTGTTTCGTCACTGCGGAGGTTTCTTGTTTGTAAAACCAAACTATATAGTTACGTATATTTGTACTTTTATTTGTGCTTTCTTCACGTTGCTTTGTTTTATTCAAACATAGCACAAATTATACTCAATCAATATAAATACAAATAATTGATTGCAAATTAATATACTTAAGTGACTATTATCAATTTCGATTGCAGTAAATGTAGGATTAAAAGAATCAGAACACATTTTATTGTCTAATGACATTAAATAAGTGACAGAAGGTAACTATAAATATAGTTAGGATGAGAACTAAACTATTTATCTCTATTTAGTTATATCTCATATATATATAGTATCTTTTACATAATTACCACTTTCAAATTCATGTATCTGATACTCCTAAACCTAGAAAGTCGTTAATATGCACACTACCTAATTAATCGGCATATTGATCAATAGATGAACTTGGGTCAGCCATTCAAGAGTGGAATCTAAATTTTCCGCAATTTACCAAGGTAATGTGTATTTCCTTATCGTTAAAGTTCAAAATATTGTTCAGTTATCCTATCAGCTGAAGTGTTAATTGTCTGATTTTATTGATTTGATTTTTTAGAATACGAAAAATATCTAAATAACATTACATTAATTTCTGCTTACTTCTGTAACTTTTTATTCTATCAAAATGTAACGTTTTATTCTATAAAAAAATTATTTCCACTTTAATGATGGCCAAGTCTTTAATGTGCAGATCATCTAAGTAATTTGCAGATTACCTAGGTAGTTTGCAGAATGAAATATTTTTTTAGCATTTTAACGGATCACTTTAGTTAATCTGGAAATCAACTAGATAATTTGTAATATAACTGATTTCTACACTTAAGCGGTAAAATAAAAGCTGTTTAAAAACTTTAAAAAAATCAACTATATTTATAGCGTTAAGTTCATAAAAGTTATTACAGTTCTCAACACTAAAAGTTAAAATAAAGTATCCAAAATCTGGAGATTATTATGGGAATCTTTGTTTGGTATGCATTTTCTAAGTCATGCGGAAGAAGTTGCGAGTTAAACCAAGCACGCCTCAAAAATAGAAAAGAATTAAAAATTCCAGAGCTTTTCTATCATACGGTGTTACAAAACGCATTTTAGACATGAAACTTTATGCTTAAGCATCCATGAAATATGTCAGTTATTTTGAAACAAGAAAAATATAACCCTCACAGCAATTAGCATTATTTTATTCATATATTAAAAATATTTCAAATTATCAACAGCATGAGTTAATAAGAAATTCGGAAATTTTTTACGACGCACATTTCACTGCGTAAAAAGAATTTTCTACGTCCAGTTATTTATAAAACTTGCTGCTTTTTTCTTCTTTATGACAGGTGGCTGAAATTAATACAATTTACCAAAGTAACATTCATGCATATTTTTGACATTCTTAACATATATTACATATTAACATCGATACATTGTTTCGCTAAACGTAGATAGTCAGCACGGAGAAAAAAATTATAGTATTGTATGATAATGACATTTCTAATAAAGTAAAACATAATACTGACAATAAAATTAAAATATATGGTATTTAAACTATACATTTGGTCATTTTTCCATTCATATGGTAACGTTTTAATAGAAGTTAACTTTAATTATAACACGATGAAACACGATAAACTTTAAAATATTTTAATGCGCTGTAAAAAGTTATGAATCAAATTACGGTGAAAAGTAACGGTACTTTAGGTGCATCATCCATAGAATTAATTTTACAGCAAAATCCCTTTATAATGTGAAATATTTTTTATTTTATTTCCAATGCAAGGTAAAAAGATACAAATAGAAAGATGAAATAAATAACGAATACAAATGTACGTTGGATAACAAAGAAAGAAGACCGAAGTCATTGCCTTAAAAGTTCTCCTGCTTCCCAATATCTTGAGGACTCAGTGTGTCCATGAAGGGCCCCACATAGAAGCAGGTGGTCCCTGCCCAATTTCTCTCCAGATTTGCAAAGTGGACAAAAAGGCGTGGTGGAAAGGCCTATGTGGTATAAGTGAGCAGAAAGACAATCGTGGCCTGTATATAAGCGGAATGTCTTGGTTTGTCGGAAATTAAAGAAGAGCTTACATCCCCATCAAAATGTCATCCACGAAGTTCAGTCTGACGCAATACCTGATTTTTATTTAGAAGTTTCCCTGTCTTCTGGATTTGGTTCAATACTTCAAGACTACAGAGTTGAACATTAATAGTTGTAAACCTAGAAATTAGTCACCTGTTCGATTCCAGTTATAAAATAAGATATATAGCTGTACATTACACAGCAATATATTGTTGCGCATACGTAGAAATTGTGGTATTTTCACCAGAAGCACTTTCCCCCTGAGCATTTTGAAAATGTGGTTTATCACTATACTCCCAAGTACTTTTATTAATGGTATACAGGTAAATCTAGCTTTTTATTTTAATAAAATTCCATTTTCTAGTTTCACCATTTTTACATTCAA